ATTACCATATTGATCAGTGTTTTTCACTAAAATCTCCTCCTTTCTTTACCTGAAGAATTGCTCATAAATGTATTATTTAAAATTAAAAAGATTTGACATTGTTCTTCAACTGCTCAAGAAACAGCTAGCTTCTCAATGCATTCTTCTCAATGTATGCAAGCTCCTAATAAAGAAATACAATGTTGAGCATATTTCAGACAAAATGAGGACAACTTTTCCCATATGAGTCTGAGTGACTTCATGGGTAGAAGAACCTTGACTTCTGTGAGATTTCCATGACTCTAACAACTACAGAATCAAGCTCTACCTACATGACACTAACGCAAAGATGTCTGAAAACTCTTTTTGTTACTTACATCATCATTAGCTGGTTCTGCTAAACATCATATGGAGAGGCAAGCGACTGAAAATGTGAGCTCAGTGCTCAGCAGCAATAAAAGTAGATAGTGTCTAGAATTACCAGGAGAACTGCAACACATATCTTAAATTATTCATCCAGTTCTGGTTGCCCGTTTCAAATCAGAAATAGTAGAACGAGAAAAGGTAAAATGGCATGGGTAATGAGAAGCCTGGAATGGCTCATGTATGAAAGATTCAACAGACTGAGGGTCTTTAGCTTGGAAAACTGAGAAGGAATATGAAAAAGGTATGTAAAACCACAAATGCCTTGGGAAAGGGGAACAGTTATTAACATCTTTCATAATGAAAACAACGGAGCATCAAACAGAATTATCAGACAGCAGATGCATTAATTATTGTGCAGAAATGCAAGGAAGTACCACTTCATGCAACTTATCATTAAATTCCACAACCAAGAACACTGCAGAACCAAAATAATAAGCAGATTCAAAAGGAATCATGTGCATGAATGGAAGTTCCTGAACTGCTGGACAGAGGAAGAAGGAGATGTAACCTGGGACAGGGCCACCCTCTATTTGCCTGTTTCTTGTGCCTTTTCCATGAACATGAGAGACAGGACAGTGGGCTCCATGAATCTCTGGCCTGATTCATGGCTGTTATTTAACACAGGGCACAACTGCCACGGACCACCAGTACTCAGTATACTCAAGCCTTACCTTGATTTTCTGTACCCTCTCCTTCCTCACAGAATTTTCCAGTTTCCTTTTTATCTCCAGCTGATGGTGACGCTATAAACGTAAGAGAAAGAGAAACCTCACTAATGGACATTATGAGATGTCAATGAATGCAAGAACACTTGCTTCTGTTCTGCTTATCACTTGCTGGCTCCCTGGTCATTACCCTCATTAAGCCCTATTACCAAACTACTGTTGATGCTCTCCATTTGCATCACACCTGTGTATGTTAACACTGGCAAAGGAACAACTGAGCGTTTGTAAAGCTGTAGAGACCAACCCCATTCTTGATATGTAACAGAAACGTGCCCACATTTTGTACTCAGAAAAGATAAATAACCATGTTCAAACTATTTTGTTTTGATTTGATTTTTTTTAAGCAAACTAGCCCTGTGAATATCATCCCATAATCTGATGACTGCCAAAGGGCAGTAAGTGATCCAGGACAGCATATGTTCTAATGACAGTATGGTTTAACAACCAGAGACCAGCGGGGGTTTCACGTGGGGGACCTCAAGCATAAAGATTGTCCTTTTTCCCAGCAGGAGAGAGCCTTTCAGGGGAGCATGAGGGCACTGCTACAGAAAACAGTCTGATACGAGTCAACAGTCACTGTCTGTACGCAGGGAAGTGTCTGCAAAGGTTTACACATTGCTAGTACATGCGTACCTCCATGTCAAGGACCTTATGAAATATGGCCCGGGCCAGGCACTCCTGTACGTATCTTTGGTGATCCTTCCTCATAGCATTTAGGCGGTATTCTTTCTCAGAGATTATTCTTCCGCTCCTTGAGATCTGCCATAAACAAACATAATGTAACTAACTAAAAAGGAGAAGAAAGAATAACACGTGTTTTTAAACAGAGTGCAATTTCCCAGAAAGACTACTTTCTCTTCCCAGTGAACTACCACCTCTGCTTCTGCCACGCTGCTGGAACTCATCTCCCCAGCACAGAACTGTAGTTTCTTTGACCTCATGGACCCCATCAGTCGAATGAAGTGAGCAGGAGAGCAGCAGTCACATTTTCTAACCGCTGCAGGCTCAGCCTTACTCTTCATGTGCCATTGCCCAAGTCAGTGGAGGGGAATTACTTGCCTTCCCACTGTGTAAGGGTTGCATCTGCCTGTGCTAAACAGTCACACCTAAGAACATGTTCAGTATTTTTAAAAATATTCAGCACATTCACCTTTGCCAAATCCTTGAGTTTGACATTAAACACTTTTGAAAAATAACACTGAAGCTATTTAAACTGCTAGGGGATTCAAAGATGCTTAGATTCCACTGTTTAAAAACCCTAAGAGAACCAATATGATTCTGTGTATTTGCAAATGGGAAGATTTTGCAGAGGCAGACTCCAATGAGCAACAAGAAATATGGAGTAAAACCACAAAAACATTCTGAATTTATCAAAACCTCTCCATGAAATATCTTCTTCTGCCTGGATGTGAAATACAAGCATATTGACAAACATTCTCACATCACTGTAATCGTACAGTAATACAGTAATGCATATGCAATAACTTACTGAAACTGCATTACTGAGCAGAAGCTCAGGGCTAAGCCAAGGCTCTCCAATATTTACTCACATCATCAATCCCTGTCAGCCACTGCTCCCAGTTTCACACAGGTAAGAATTATGACTGTTGCATTACAGAAGGTGCAGTGGAAGCATAAGCTTGATATTCGATGGCGTATGGCCTCCACACTGACTGCTAGCACATCACTTCTCATGTGGAATCATCACCCCCCAGCAGCCCCCATGCTGGCATCTTCACAGCCGCAGGGGACCCCTGGACCTTGGTGTCCTGAAATGTGGTCAATGCCAGCTACAGCATTTCCTCTGCTGTCTCCAGTGTCTTCAAACCACTGAGCACATGGAGCTAAGCTCCAGTTCAGTTTTACTTGTCTTCCTGTCTTCTGATTTCAGTAGCATAGCCTTACCCTCCACAGCCCTGTGTCCCTGCAATATCTACCTGACCCAAATAATGCAGTGGGAAACGCTTGGATTAAACAAAGCCACCCTCAGTCTCAGTGCGATCGTGTGGCTTTGATCTAGCACAGCATAATCTCAAATGCTTGGCTGGGTGGTCTTACCAATGACCACACATACCTCTGACAATCAAACAACAGAACTACCAGTGCTCTGACTTGTGCAATATTAGAAGAAACAAAGTTTTCTCAGAAAAATAAACTTTTCAGTCTCACCAGTCCTGATCTCTGAAGATGTCGTCTTATCCTGGTATTGCTGAAATATCCAGCCAGGTGCTTGTCTGTAAGGCTGTTGTAGGTTGCAAGAAATCTGAAATAAAATCAATACAGATGCACATAATGCCCTTGACAGCGAAAGTATCACAGCTTAAGTTATAAAGACTTACCCAATGATGAATCACACCCAGAATTTTGTCAGATAAATGCTCATTAGATTATAGAAAAGCAACATTTTATTGCCTCCAGAAGATCCCTATGAGACACAAGTGACTTCCATAGAAGATACAGCAGCTCAGCACTGAATGGCGTACCACCGCCGAGGCACAGGGTCCAACACAGCCCAGCCCTGGAAATCTCCTCCAAGACCAACTCCCACAACAGCCTCCTCAGAAAATAAACTCCGACCTTCGCCGGGTCAGTATCGTGCCTTACAGCCCTTGTGCTGGATTCCTGGCCCTGGTGGAAGCCCGTCAATATTTGGCACATTACCGGGGAGAGAGATGTCCCGCATCTCCTGCACGGCTGCACGCCTCCCCCTGCCCCACCACACGCCCCGTGCTCCCCTTCCTTCTGCCACCTCCGAACTGGTGATCGATACGGCAGCGATGCAGTTTCTGGCGACTTTTGCAGAGACCTGTAAGAATCACTTGGGTTGGGAGGGACCTCCAGAGTCCATCTAGTCCAGCCGCCAGCCCCAGGCATATCACTTATCAGACTTCACCTACACAAAGGAATATTCCTGGGGTCTTCATTGCCAGCTCTCAGGCATTACTGTCTGGTATCTAACACAAACAAACTCCTTTCTTCCGTCTACTTAGGTTAGCAGAAACTGCTAGCACCAACACATATTTTTAAGATGGGACATAGTTTCCGTAGTATTTTCGCTGTTTTGAAAGTTACCATACACATTATTAACTTGGGTACAAATCTTTACCCTGATGAAGACCACTTATTTGTGTTTTCAGCCAAAGCACCCTTCTGTATCCACATTTTCATACATTTTTTAATGGCAATTTCATCTTCTTTAATGTTCCCACCATCAGAGGGACTGCATATCAATGCACCTACAAAGAAAACTAAGTGGCTTCAATTTCAGAGGTCAAAAAATACGCTTAAGTCTTCCCTCCTGTTTTAAACCATTTGGGATTCAGCTAAGTGTCTGTTAAAATGTTGCTTGACCAACCACTAAATTGTTCATGAACAAAAAAGCCTGTTTCAAAAAACAGGTGTTCATTTGGCCTTTACACAAACAGAACTCACAAACCACTCAGGAAAACTAATCCGTGACAGCAAGATTAGGAACTGTGCTGTTTAGGGGACCATTTATTCCAACACAACAGTGACTCTACAATATTATTTACATAACAGCCAAGAATGCTTATCCCACAAACATTTTTGTAAATTCAATTGCACAAAACTTGTACAAGTCAAGATTCATCACTTTTATTGGTATTTACAAGCTAGAAAGCGTACGTTACTGTAGCAGGTTTTTGCTGGTTGTCACCATATGGCAGCAGTTTGAAGTGCAACTGGTTTCGATGAGAATTCTTCTTTTGTTCCCTCTCTAAATACAGCTACTACATTTCACCAAAGCTCACCAGACCTACTTTATACGAACAATTTGCTGAAGCTAAACAAAACCCAAACATACCCTGCAGCAATCCAAGGGACTATGCTGCGCTATGGCCCAATCGGTTGGGCTACGCTACCTTCTGCTCTTCTGTTCCCCTCCAAAGACCCCCAACATCGGGGCGCACAGGTCTTCTTCTGTACCCAGGACAATAAAAATGGGTCCAATATGAAATACAAGAATCTCTCAAGACTCCCCCAGTTCCCAAGTCAATATATTAAAGATTCTCTTTAGTGCATACATCGAACAATCCAAAGGGAACAAATTGCATCTCTCTCCTATTTATTGGTGACAAATTGTAAGACCAACAAACATGGAGAACCAGGCCATGCAGACCATCAAGGCGAGGCCCTGCCCAAGAAATGTCATGCATCTCTGGTAAGCCAACAGAGCTAAATCGTCACAGCTACCAAAGATCAGAGCTCCCAAAAATTGAACCAAATGTAAGAGAGTTGAACACAAAAACTGAAGCATCCATAATTAGCAGATACATATTTAAATAGTTCTCATCACAACCTTCTCTCACTTCACCCTCTGGAAAACAGGACAGGTAACAAAGTAAGTGACAGCAGGCTTCCATTTTTCATACTCTAAATCTATTCATATTTGTAAAACGTGTACATGCAGGTACATACTGCACAATATGTTCAGCCGAACCTTCGGGCTCTCTGGGCAGGATATGTTTTAATTACACAACAAGAGACTGATCTCTTTTGTTTCCTTTGGCTTTAAACTTAAACGCCACTGCACCTCTATTCCATACCCTGCAACGGGATCATTGGAGATAAATGCACACTGCTAGGCTGAGCTGCCACACATAAATTACACTCAAGGAAAGAAAGAACAATTTTTAAAAAAATCAAAACCCCAAAGGGATCATGGATTTACAGGAATTTTATCTGGGGTTTCACAATAATCTCAGAGGTAGCCTGCCAACAATAAATTAAACTTTAAACAAACAATTTAGCTCACTCTGTTATGCACGTTGGTTAAACGCTGGTACTATAGCAACTGTCCTACGTTACTTTTTTAATCCACTGTTTGCATTTGAAACCACCAGATTACATCGATTGTGCTAAGCACTGACTTATGGTATCACCTGGCAATTGCACATGGACGCAGAGGAAAAACTCAGTTCAATTGCTTTTCATTTGTTTCCTTCCATCTAATATTTCATGGACGGTATAGCTAGTTAATATGCAACTCCCATCTGAGCACAGCCACGTACCAACTTCAGTTTCAAAGAAGCCTCTGTACATGGATTTTCTCATTTAGATTATGAACAGGCTGGTCCTCAACAATGCTGAATTAAATTCAAAATCCAAAAGGGTATTGGAGGAAATAAGGACGTGTTTTGGGCCAGAACCAAATCCATTAAACTGCTGGGAAGAATGCAACTGGATCCACTGGCCTTTGGCAGAGCAGCCCTGCCCTGATGGAGACCATCCTCACATTTACAAGTTGCTGAATCTTGCACCATTTCTGCTGGGGACATGAACAAGGCTCGTCCAGCTTTCAGGCAGAACAAATCTGACCACAGGCTGTCAACCGCAAACAGCAAGTCAACATCCCACAAGGCAGGGGCACCTGCCCAGCATGTTGCATTTGGGAGCAAAGACTACTCTTAGGAGACTCTCCAGATACCTGCCGCTGTCTGACATTGCCTCTCCAAGGAAATTCTTCAGCCACCATCCTACTTCCAACAAAAATGCTGCCAAGGTCTCCAGAGCAGTAAGCAGATGGTGGCAAAGTGGTTTTCCACAGAACTGGAATTTGGTGTTAAATCCTGAAGGTCAGGACTTCGTGAATCCTAGCTGGGAATGGCTTAACAGGCACGCGTGGCCCTAGGAATCCAGCGATGGTTCCATCACACAGATGGGATTCTGCCATCTGCCCACCAGTACAGCCATCCGGAAGATCACTGCTGCCCTCATGACACTATTCAGTGTAAATACTTATTTTGTTTGGTGCCTCCAAGCTTAAGCCAAGTGAACATGGCCAGTGGCTGGTCTGTGCTTGGGTTCCTCTCTCAGAGGAAGAAGGCCACCTGTTCAGAAGATGACACGCCAGGAAAACAATCCCACCTCCACCAAAGGAGGCTCTTGCTTTGTCAGCAGATGCAGCTGTAACGCTTGTGAACTGACTCTTCTGACTACCGGCCTCACACCACAGCCCTCCTCTGACAACGGGAAGCCACCACCGTGCAGCTGGGCCACCGATTGTCCCTCGGCTACACCACCTCTGGACTTCACCTCGAGACACAGCTCTGGCTTCTACGTTTATCAATTTCAACTACTGCTGCCATGCTTATGAGAACCCATGCTGGAACACAACT